CAGCTATCCCTCTCCTCGGTCTATACCCAAAGGATTTAAAAACAGCATACTACAGGGACACGGCCACATCAATGTTTATAGCAGCACAATTCACAATAGCTAAACTGTGGAACCAACCTAGATGCCCTTCAGTACATGAAATTAAACCCCTATCTCTCAGCATGCACAAAACTCAACTCAAAGAGGATCAAGGATCTAGGAATTAAATCAGAGACTCTCTGTCTAATAGAAGAAAAAGTAAGCTCTAATCCTCATCATGTGGGATTTAAAAAATGGATTTGGGGCTGGGGATGTGGCTCAAGCAGTAGCGCGCTCGCCTGGCATGCATGCACGCTGGGTTCTATCCTCAGCACCATATAAAAAATAAAATAAAGAAGTTGTGTCCACCAAAAACTAAAACATAAATATTCAAAAATTCTTTCTCTCTCTCTCTCTCTTTAAAAAATGGATTAAAAATGTGGCATAAGTACACAATGGAATATTATTCAGCAATAAAAGAGAATAAAATCACGGCATTTGAATGCAGTTGGAGAAGATAATGCTAAGTGAAGTTAGCCAATTAAAAAAAAAAACAAATGGCGAATGTTTTCTCTGATATAAGGTGACTGACTCATAGTAGGGTAGGGAGAGGGAGCATGAGAGGAATAGACAAACTCTAGATAGGGCAGAGGGGTGGGAGGGGAAGGGAAGTGGGAGGGGGTTAGCAATGATGGTGGAATGTGATGGACATCATTATCCAAAGTACATGTATGAAGACACGAATTGGTGTGAACATATCATATATACAGAGATATGAAAAATTATGTTCTATATGTGTAATAAGAATTGTGATACATTCTGCTGTCATGTATTTTTTTTTAAAACTGGTCAAAGGACTGGGTTGTGGCTCAGTGGTAGAGCACTTGCCTGATATGTGTGAGGCACTGGGTTCAATTCTCAGCAACACATATAAATTAATTAATAAAATAAAGATTCATTAACACCTAAAAAATTTAAAAAAAAAAGAACTGGTCAAATACTTGACATGTCCATAAGATAAACATCTTGGTATCCAACCCCAGAATACCATGTGGCCACAAGAGAGAAAAGCTCTACATTCCCCAACATGCAAAGACCTTCGGAACATCCTGCCCATTGAGTGAAAGTGGGCTGCAAAGCTATGGGTGTGTGACCCCAGGTATGCAAAACCGTCTTGAATCTGATGATCTGTGTTGGAATAGAGAGATCTGGAAGCCTGTTCACCAAAGGACTGGCACTGATTTTTCTTTGGAAAAAATTAGTTGAGGGATTTTAATTTTCCTCTCTACATATTTCTCAATTGTCTGAATTTTCTGAGAGTATACACATTTATTTTTAACAAAGCAGAAAAAGAGAAATATGGGAAGAAAATGGCATGTCCTCTCCAACCCCGAGCCTGCCTTTGTCCTGTGGTCACAACCCAGGTGATTCCAGGGTGGAGACTGTGCAGCTCCACGTGGGGAACCTGGCCTTGGGTCTGCACCTGAGCTGCAGCAACTGAGCCAGAGGCTCTGCTGGCGGGGCTGGGAGGCATCCTGGGAGGCATTAGGAGCTCAAGCTTCTAGTGGTGTGAGTGAGAGAAGCCCTGGTGCTCTTTACCCCTCATTTAGCTAAGCAAGGCTCTGCTGTGACGAGTCACCCAAGATCTTTCCTGGCTGGAGCAGCTGTGCAAGCTACCCTTGCCTGCTGGAGGAACCACCTGTGGTAGGAAGGCTAATTGCTGGCCTGGCCAAGAGAGAAGGGGTCAGGGGCTGGCCCCAAGAACAGCCCAGGACCTGAAGGAAGCATGTGCATGGGTGCGAGACAGAGGACAGCTGGGTAAAAGGAGGACAACTGAGCAGTCCTATGGGTGCTGGGGACTCAGAAAGAAGTGGAAATTCAGGGCTAGGGAAGAAGAATGCAAGGGCTTCAGCTGCCTTAGGTCTCTATAATGCTCATGTCCAGGTGGGAGTGTGGAAACCCACTCCCCTTGAAAATGCCTCGTTCTCCTCTGAGCCAGCTATTCCCATGCTTAAGAATCATCTATGGCTCTCAACTGCCTGAATCATCTATCCCAATTCCAACTCTGCAGTCAACGTTTTCCTTGGTCCCATCTTGGCTCTAATTTCCTTTGCGGGCCACATTGCCTCTCTTTCTCTCCCCACCCATCCTTCCTTCTGAAGCCAGAATTAAACAGGCAGTCAGTATAGATAGGTAAATCGAGTCAGGTCTGATCAAGGAGGCCAGACTGTCCCCTGAGGGATTGAAATGTTACTTCCTTCAGAGCCCTTCCTCTGCCCTTATCAAAACCTGCCCCTGCTGCAGCCTGTTGCCAGGGTAACCTATCCCAGGAATTGCCCCTCTTACAGGGAGCATAAGGTTGTTAATTAATGTGTCTTGGGCTGCTCCGTCCTCCCTTCCCCCTTCAGCCCACCTGTTCCTGTTTCCCACCTTTAGGCCAGCCACCAGCCTTCCAGGGCCTGGCCACAGTAGGCAGGAAGGAGAGAGATAAGGGGAAGAGGGCAGGAGAGCAAAGGAAGCCTGGACATAAACAGGGCAGAACACCTCGCTTCTTGGGATACCAGCTGTGGCCCCCTTCTCCCTCCTGGGAGAAGTCTATGTTCATACCCCTTTTAAAATAAGCCCTGCTTTATGTGCTGGCCTCTGCGTGCTTCTCTCATGTCATACTTCAACATGTGGGGAGCAGGACTCACCAATAACCGGGTTATCACCTCCCTACTCCCTGCCCATCCAGGGCCCATGTTCCCTGGTCTTCCTCTTTTTGCTTGTTCTGGCCCCTCTGCCTCTTCCCATACCTCCTCTCGTATCTAGTAAACTCCTATTCATCTTTTGAGTCTGAGAAGCCTCCCCACTTATCCCACCAAGCTGGCCCCTGCAGAACCTTCTGGGGCAGCTGCTATAGCCCTTGCCACCCCCCTCGAGCAGTTTTCATGTCTTCCCCATTTTTGAGGGAGCTGAGGACAACTTTCTGTCTCAACGTGGGTCAGCACCATGTTCCGAGCCCCCAGGCTGCAGCAGGCCCACGGCAGGCACTGGGCCAGTGTGTGGTGAGTGGTGGGCGCTGCCGTACCTTTCTGCTCTGGAGCACTGCTGATGGTGAAGGGGTGCCACTCATAGCGAGCGATGGTGGGGATGTTCAAGTACAAGTAGTCCCCAGGCCTATAGTGGAAGAGAGGGGGCCGCTGGATGATGAGATGAGTGACCTGAGAAAGAAGAGGGAGGCCAGGTCATCCTCTCTGTCCTGGAGCTGCCATGGGCATCAGAGAGAGAGGGCAGAGCCTGGGCCACCCCCTTCCTCCCATGGTGACACTGTCTCTGCCTTTGAGTGGGACTCACCCTGAAGCCAGCCTGCTGGCCTAGAGATGGGTGACACTCAGGGGAAGGACAGTGGCGCTGCGCTAAAGGGTTTCTACCCCACTTCTCCCTCCTGGGCTTGAGACTTCCATAGCACTTCCTGCCAGCACCTGGCTGGCATCCCACTGCCATGGGCTTCTCTCCTTGATCGACAGCATCCTCCTGGACACTAGCTCTAGTTTTTTGGGCACTTACTATGTACCAGAGCTGTGAGGAGCACAGTGAGCAAGAGTGCGAGGCCCCACAGCAATCTTCTGATATAAATACTGGTCTTCCCCACTTTAGGGACAAGAAGCTGAGGCTCTGAGAGGTTAAATAACTTGCCCAAGGCCACCAGAGGCTGTCTGTCTCCAGTGCCTGGTCACACAGGGCACCTCATCATTCGGCATCCTGAGTCCTCAAACTGAAGCTGTCCAGAGCTGACCCGCCAGCTTTTTCTGCCTCCTTTTTCTCTGTCAATGGTGCCACTCTGACACCTGGGAGATGGCCTTGGCTCCTTCCTTACTCACCCCAAAATGCAGTGCTACCTCTTGAGTTTTCTGTGGTAGGTGCCCCGCCCTCCCATGGCTGCTGCCTCAGGGTCAAGGCCTCACAAGCTATGGGCTTCGTATTGGCTAGTGCTTCCCAATGGGTCTTCTCCGAGACACTTTCCACAGAGCAAATAAAGAAATGTAGCTAGATTATGAATTGTCCATGTTTGCCCCACTTCACCACCATCTCTTCCTATAAGTGCAGGGGTTCCGGCGGCCTGCAGGGCGGGGTCCAAGCCTCAGAGGTCTCTCATGGCCACACCCTGCCCACTTCTCCAGCTTCTCCCTTGGTTCCAGCCATGTCAAATTGCTAGAGGTCCCTTAAGTACAGCGTGCCCCTTCACTACCCTGGGCCTTTTCTGAGCTATTCTTTCTCTGACCAATACCCTTTCTCAACTTTCATAGCTAGAAAATTCTTATGCAACCCTCAAAACACTGAGGTGCCATCACCTCCTTTATTGATTGATTGAAGGCTTCTCTGACGTCCCAAAGACAGGAGTTTAATACTTCCTTACACTCTGCTTCTCTCTCCACTACAGCTCTGCTCTATGTGAAAGGGCTGACTCCCTAGAGAGCAGGCAGTGTCTGTGTGACTTGTCACAGGGCCTGAAACCTTGCAGCCACTTAATATATTCTTATGGAGCTGAATTGGGATTTTCTCCCTTGTCCTGGCCTTTTGCTGTCTGTCCCATCATTCTTCTTCCTAAAGGGTCATACCTGAAAGGCTGGGCCGGGTCTCACAGGGTGTGGGTTTCCTCCACTACCCTGGGCTGCAGTTATACCAATGTGTACTCCTTTGGGGTCTAACAAGGTGCCCAGCGCTCTGCCCTATCACCCGCCACTCAGGGTTAGAGGAAAAAGCCCCCGCTTGCACCTTGGAGGGGAGGAGGTTGACTTCCACAATACTCAGGGGGGCCATGCGGGACTTGATCAGCCCCATGGCCTTCTCTAGGAGGAACAAGATGCCGGGGACCAGAAGCCACTTCCAGAAGTTAGGCCCATGCAGGATGAGAAGGATCCACAGGAGCAGGTAGGACAGGTGGGTCCAGTAGAATACCTGTGGGGGTATGAGGTGGTCACTGCCAAGCTTGAGGCCTGAGGGTGGCACAGAACGAGGGCTCAGAGCCATCCCCAAAGCCCAGAGCCTTGACTTTCTCTCGGGATGGGGATAGGTAAGAGGCTGAGGTGACTGATGCACATTGCTTCTTTGTTCTGGGGCTTGACAGAGGGAGTCTGGAAGGGAAGATTCTGACACAGAGGCAAACATCTGAATGTGCCTGGCAATGTTCTGGGCAAAGCAGAGTGGACACCAAGGTCCCTGTCCTCTGGCCCCTACTCAGGGAGAGGGGAAAGACAGCAGTGGTTTCCTGGGAGGGGAAAAGAAGGAAGACAGTTTAATGCCTGCTCTACTTCCAGCTAGGGGACCTTGGAAAACCTTCCTGACTTTTCTGAGAATCAGAGTCCTCATCTGTCAAATAAGGATGTGGGTTCCTGCTTCAAAGCCTGTTGCTGCCACAGCGGGGATCCATGGCATCCATTCCTGATGTGGCCAGTTCAGTCCAGGACACAGTTACAGTCTCCAAACCAAGCTGGCCGCACCTTCTAAATCCTGTGCAGACTGGAGGCAGGAAGTGAAGAAGGAACTGACATTTTCAGAGCACTATGTGCCAGGTATGGGACCAGAAGCTTCGAATATACTACCTTGTGAACTTCCTAAAATAATGTCAAAGGTGAAGGATTAGACCTTCATTTTATTGATGAGGAAACTGAGGCTCAGAGAGGCTGAGCGAGCAGAAAGTGGTGGAGTGGGGATTTGGACCCTGGCGAGCCTGAGTTTCTTTCCCCCTGTGCCCTCTGAGCCTGACTTATACCAACTGGGGCAAAGGGGTAAGGTCACAGAAAGGCAGAATCTGCCGTCTTCAGCTGGCACATGTGAACTGGGCCCGTCGGCAGAGCCCAGATGGCACACAAATAGCATGCAGACCAGCCCGGGGCTTCCTGAGCTCTGCAGCAAGTCAGAGGGGACACAGCAAAAAAGGAAAGTGGGTTATATACAAAGATATGAAAAATTGTGCTCTATATGTGTAATAAGAAGTGTAATGCATTCCGCTGTCGTGTATTTAAAAAATAAAATCAATTAAATTTAAAAAAAAAAAAAAGGAAAGTGGGAGCCCAGCTTGGAGAGAGGCAAAGGGGTCAGGGCTGGGGCACCTGGAAGTGGCCGCTCCTGCGGACGCAGGGGCTGGAGCAGATGACCATGAGCAGCAGCAGCAGCAGCAGTGCAACGCCCGTCGGGGAGGCTGAGCCGTGCACCCAGCCGATGCCAGGCCACGTGGTGAGCAGCAGTTCCCAGAACTGGAAGGGGCTGGCCCCGGACTGAGCCAGGAGTGCTGCAGACAAGCACAAGACCGCTCTTGCACCTGCCTTGCCTCTGGGACCCTCTGCATCAAATACTGGCCCAGGCGGGGACTTTGGCTCAGAGTGCTGGCCCACCTTGGGCCCCTCTGCTTCCCTCTGCAGGCAGGCAGGACACCCAGGGGCTGCACCCATGTTCAGAGCTGGGAGCTGTGCAATCCAGGGGTTTGTGAGGCCCAGGTTCCCCCCAGCCCTCCCCTAGACCACTTACCGAAGTTTACAACGTGGGCCACAGTGTGCACAAGGGATAGTCCCACCACCATGTAGCCCATGAGCTGGTGAAACTGGATAACGTAGTCCAGGGGCAGGACCTGAGTCAGCCACGTGGCTCGTAGCCACGTAAGGCAGCGCCTGAGCATCAGCACCTGTGGGTAGAGTGGCAAGAGCCCTGCTCAGCAGCTCCCACTTGTCCTTTCCCCAGCAGGGTATGCCTATGTCCCCCTGAGCTGTCTGGACTTCCTGAACAGACCCCTGCTGCTCCCCAGCCTTTGGTGCTCTCTGAGGTCCACAGCTGGGTCTCTAAAGGAGAGTCTCTAGAATCAGGGTGAGAAGAAAACGCTAGAGTGCCTGCATGTGTTGTTTTCTATGGAAACAAAATGGGAAACGTAGAAACTTTCACTAACGTTGAACATGTGCATTGACAAGGTACCTCTTCAGTGCAGATGTCAGATGGACACTTGGCAAGTGCAGTTCTCAAGGTGTCCTGGGGGAAGACCCCGCTTTCCAAAATGCAGAGCAATTGGCACAGGCTCCTCACTTTATCATTGCGATTGGTGGGTTTATGTGTGCCTAGATATGTGGACCCACAGACTACAGTGTCTGCTTTAACTAAATGAAGCTAACTATGCCCCCCACCAAGGGCAGGCAGCTTAAGAGGATTCACTGCTGGGAAGCTGCAGAGTGGAAGTAGCATAACAAAGCAAGAGTGAGAGATCAAGAGAATGAGCCATGTGTCGCACATTCCTGGCATGAAGTCTGTCAACTGGTTATGGGGTTGAAACAAAGCCCACTCTGGCAAGAAGCTGATAATTCCAGGAAGCATGTTTAGAATAGAGATGTGCATCCCTGATGGTGAAGGGGAAGTCTGGCCTTACAGTGATATTGTGCCATAGCTGTATTAGCTAAGAGACTAGTTCATGCATATAGTAAAGCATATGAAGGGTTTTTGTTAGTTTTGTTTTAATTGCAGGCATGTGAGATACAAAATGCTTGGAGACCAATTCCATGGTGCAGAGGATCACATTGGGACTTAAATTAGAGGTGACCTGAAGCTTTTTTCTCTCTGAATGGAGCCCTGCAGAGGCTTTACCATAGGGTTGTTGTGAGACCAAATGAAATGTACTTATCACCATGCCTGATACATAGGAAGCGCACCAAATTGCCAGTTATGTTATTCCTTACTGGCTGTGCAACTGTGGACAAGTCACTGTCCCTCTCTGGGCCTCAGTTTCCATCTCTGGGTGCTGGCCCAGGTGATTTCTAAGATGCCATCCTGCCCTGCTATTTCTAGGTGTCTGTATGTGAGAACCCACATTCTCTCCCGACATGCTTCCCTGCAACATGCCAGTGTAGCCCTACCGCAATGAAGCTGCAGTTGAAGTTGAGGCACTGGCCACAGCCTTTGGCCACCATGATGTTGGCACCAAGGGCCCGGTGTGCATTGGCTGCCAGCACAAAGAGCAGCACTTGGAGGCCAGTGTAGGTGGCCAGGCAGAGCAGCTGGTTGCGGTGGTTGTGCCAGTAGGCAGCTGTCAGTGGGCGTGGCCTGTGCAGAGGACGACGGTTGGCAGGTGGTGTCAGCCAGCAGGCAGCACTGCAAGACAGGGGACTCTGCTCAGAGGGATGCAGTGGGGCAGGAGAGGGGAAGAATCTGTGTGGGCTGTGAGGGTCACCTAGAGACCCCCACCTGCTGTGGCCCACCAACTCTTTGCAGCTGTGCAAGTAAGCCAGCTTCCTTCCACACTAGGAAACAGAGAGGTTGAGACTTGGTCACTGTCACACAGGTGGAAATGGAATGGAACTCTGGTGTGTTGGATGTCACAACCACAGCTATTTTTTTTTTTTTTTTTTTTTTTTTCTTTTTCCCTTTTTAAAAAAATGGCAACCAAAAAGGAGAGAAGAATCTGAGATACACTTTGATAAGTAACTCATAAGAAAGTTAAGACACAAAAAGAATGGATTGCAAGATTGGCACTTTTCAGACAAACTTGGGTCTGCGGTCAGGCTCCACTCTTATTTTCTCCACAGGATTTACTAATTGTGTACTTTTCTACTTTATTTGTTTATTGATATGAATTGCATGTCTCCAAAATGTCTCCCAGCAGAGTTGAGAACTCAGTCCCTGCCAAGCACTGCCCTTATTTTGAATGGAGCTTGATGTGTGGTGGCTGTTCAGCCAATATTTGTTGCTAATTATTTGTGTGATCGTAGGCAAGTTATTCAGAAGTAATTTTAATTTACTTTTGAAAAAATAGGCATTGTTATAAAATGCATTATTGCATGTGAAAGTGCCCCCTGCACGTAGTAGGTGCTTAATACTGTGAATTGATTCTGAAGAGACCGTTCCGAAAAAATGGAGGCAAAACAATAGCTGCTCGCGGGACAGATCTTTATTCCCTGGGAAAAGGGCACGTGGGGACTACGCTGGGCAGGCGCCCGCCCCGCTCGGGACCTGGGTTTAGCCCCGACGCGGACAGCGCCCGAGCCCCCGCAGCGTACCTGATGGTCAGGTTCTCCATGACGCCGGGGAACTGCTGCAGCTCGTCACGGAGTTCGTCGAAGGTGATGGCACCGCTGCAGTCCTTGTCCGCGGACTGGAAGAGCGCCAGCGTCAGCTGGTCCAGCTTCTCCTCCGGCAGCGAGATGGCGCTCTCGCGCAGGCACGACAGCAGCACAGTGCGCAGCTCGTCGGGGTCGATGGAGCCGTTGCCTGTCTCGGGTGAGGACAGAGGAGAGAGAGGGCGGAGCTGTGGCAGCCCTGCAGATGCCCTGCACTCACATTGTATTGGGTAGCGGGTGTTTTCTCGTCACCCACCTTCAGTTTTCTGCCAACCATTTCCCTTTAGGCGCAAAGACAAAGCAAAGGACCAAATGTCACCTTCGTGCAGCTCAGAAACCTTCCATGGCTCCCTACTGCCTAGCTCAACAGAAATGAGGGCCTGCCTCCTCAAGTCTGGAGAATCTTTGACCTCAGTGGATGGCTTTCTCCAGAATCAGTGGTATCCTCGCTAAGTATCCTTCAACTTCCAAGATGATCTGCCTAGAAAAAGTACTTGCTTAATCTGTAAGTAGCTGTGCACTCAGACTTCATTATCCATGAGGCCAACCGAATATGGGATGGTGTTGAGGAGAAGGGCCCTGTTGCTCTCCAACGTACAGCAGAATGTTTATCATGTTGTCTCAGAGAGTCCACAGCTGGGCACTCCAGCCCAGCCATGTGGCCTTATGTGGACATGGGTGGTTAAAAGTGTGATGGACAGCCCAGTGCACTGGCACACACCTGTAATTCCAGTTACTTTAGAAACTGAGGTAGGAAGTTCGAAAGATCAAAGCCTGATCAATTTAGTGAGGTACTGTCTCCAAATAAAAAGTAAAAGGGCTGGGGATGTAGCTCAGTGGTAGAGTGCCCTGGGTTCAATCCCCAATACTTTAAATAAATAAATAAATAAATAAATAAATAAATCAATCAATCAATCAATCAATCAATCAATCAATCAATCGTAATGGGTAAAAGAAGTCAAAAACACCTAAAATAAGATTTGGAACATTTTTTCTGTAATTATGTTCCATTTTTTAAAAAAATGTTCATTCTTCCTAAGCAGCAGGACAGGACTGGGATGAATGTTTGCTTGCACTGCTTTAGATGTAGACACAGCCACGGTAGCATCCTGCTTCTGCCCCTTGCTGTGTTATGGTGGCTCTAAGTCTTTAGAGTATAGACTCTCTCTCTTTGCCCATCTATCAAATGGGGATAATAATTTCTCCCTCCAGATTTGGTTCAAGGATAATGGACAATTGTGAAACATCTAATACAGTGTCTGAAAGAAATTGCATATACATGGGAATTTT